GAGGAGAAAATCAGGAGACTTGAAAAGGTAAGCTTTGCATTCCAGAGAGGAAAAAGATAATGCTTCAGAGTTCTCATTTTATCTAAGCTGCAGACTCTTTCCTAGAAAACGTGATGAAAAGGACGAACTTCCTCCAAATAAAGAATATAATAATGTCTCATTAAATCACAGAGATCAAAACAATGTCCTGTTAATGGAGCATTAATTGAAAAAAAGCTGCTTTTTCTTTGGTCCACTTCAAGCTATGTTTTTGAAAATATTTCTTAACACTGTATTTCAGTGTGTGTGTGGGTGTGTTTAATGCTAGTCCCTTAGAATTTTGTAAATGGGTATATGAATAAGAAGTGTTGTAGTTAAATAAACCTGGAAAATATTGACGATCAAGCTTTAGTAAGTGGCTGAACCATTTCATGTATTACTTGGAAGACCTAGTGGAGGGTGATTTCAAGCTTGGCTAACTCACAGTTCAGTTGCATTTTCACTTCCCTATCAAGTATTTACCCTGTTGTCGTGGTTTGCTATCATTTCTTCAGGACTACAAAATAACTAGAGTAGTTGCAGGGTGTGTGGACAGGGTGCGGTGTGGGAGATTTTTGATACAATTGACTAATCTCTTCATAAGAATAAATAAACTTTCTCAGAAGTTCTCCAGCAAACTCTTTCTTTATATCTCATTGGCTAGAATTGTATCCTATCCCATGTTCCTACAGCAGTCCTTGCAGAGGAGATTGGATTGGCTTCGACAAATCAGGATTAACTCAGTGAAAAGTCCAGAAATCCTCACTCCCATTGGTGGCCTCCGATATCTGAACAGAATCAGATTTCAGTTGGGAGACAAGGAGTAGGGATGGTATATGAGCAGTCAAAGACTCTGAGATTGGCAAATAATTGTGACTGCCATACTAAGGAAAATAAAGCTTAAATCCTTTTTATGAAACATAAACTTGTCACTTCTGGTTTTGTTGATATAAGGCTACATTTTCAAGACCTATTAGCTCCAAAGACAAATTTAATGCATAAGTCTTCTCAGAGCCTTTAATACGTTAACATACCTGGAGACTCTCTGAGAAAGGGATAAAGCCTGCAATGTTTCACAGGTAATAAAATATTTTATTATGTAAAATAATGCAATTATTTTTCAAGGCATTCTTTCCAGGATGATTGTCTTTATTAGTATAGTTTGGAAATGGCTCCCCTCAATTATTAGTCTGAACCTATTTCATAGTGTATATTTTATAATGGTCAAAATGCCTCCAAGATTGCCTTTTCTAAGTTCTATAAAAAATAAGAGAAATTTATAAAGTAGCAGGTTATAAAATTAATACTAAAAATGAATAGCCTTATAAAATAAATATAGTAAAATGGTAATATTAGAATTTAGTTAGTGGGTTCACTCTAAAGTTCTTTTAACCTTGCTCTATGTTTGAAATTTTTCATAACAGAAGGTTGGAAAACAGTAAAACAGCCACAACGTAGCAAAGAGTAGCTTTTATATATACGATGAAATACCAATAAAACGATTCATGAAAAATAACACCACACTTATAATAGCAAAAATGAATAAAACATCGTGGCTAACTTTGCAAGAAACATTCAAAACCTGTATGAGAAAACTTTAAACACTATTGGGAGAAGCAAAACTAGACTTGAGCAAATGAAGGTACAGATAGGAAGATTCAACCTCAGCAAGGCTTCTGTTCTAGGCGAGTTTATTTTTAAATACAACGAAAACCCGATAAATGGACCACCACGTTGCTAGATTTTCTTTCTGAAGATAATGGTTAATAAATTTTATTGGAGGAAATAAATTATTCAGAAAAATCTTTAAAAATCAACAAATCTGGCACAGAGGGGCTTGCTGTATCAGTTATTAAAATATGTTATAAAGCCTTTGTAAGTGAAACTCTGGTTTGGTGCATGGATTGAGAAAGTAAACCATGAAACAGATTTTAAAAATCCGTAAAGGGACCCAGTCACGTGGAAATTTAACATATAGTAAAGGCAGAACCTCAAATCAGCAAGAGAAGGTGAACTGTCATATATTGCAATAACTGCATAGCTATATGGTAAAAGATAAAATTTTGATTAGTTTCTCACATTGCATAACAAAATACATTCCAAGTGTGTCAAATATTTAACTTAAAAAATTATATGAGTACTAAGAGAAAACGTGGATGAAAACTTCTGTACTCTGGAAGTGGGCTCACTTTTTCTAACCATGATTCAAAATCCAGATGTATTAAGAGAAAACTAAATCAATACATTTTATTAGAAAAAAAGAATAAATTTTTATTTGAAAAAAGATACCTAATAGAGGTAAAAGAATAATGACAAACTGGGAAAAATATTTGCAACTTAATCTCAAAGAGTTAATATATCTAATTAATTTTAAATACAGAAGAAAATGGCCAGTAATTTTTTATCAGAATTGACTTGTTTATGAACAGTTTACAAAAACAAGAAACAAGTTGCATCTTTCCTTATGAAAGAAACTCAATTTCCTTTATAACAAGAAAAATGCAAATAAAAACACAATGGGGTAGCATTTCTCACGTACCTGATTGACGCAAATTAAAGTTCAACAGCATACTCTGTTGCTGAGGTTGCAGAGAAACAAACATTTTCATCCATTGCTGGTGGGACGGCAAAATGATGCAATCCTTTTAGAGTGCAATTTGCCAATATATATATATAAAAAATACACATGAATTTACCCTTTGACAAAGCTCCTCTACTTCTCAAAATTCTTCCCCAAAATACTCAGGCAAAAACTGAAAAACACATACAGGTATATGCAGAAGGCTGTTCTATACTTTTCAGACTATTAGTTAGACATGATTGTTATTCTAAGAGTGTTATCTGTATATTATGGGATAAAGCAAATGAATAATCGTAGCGATATCATTGAGAACCAAGATTTTCCTTATGAGAGAAAGGAAGTAGAGATTTAAGAGTGTCAAGGTTAAGCAAAAACTCTGTAGTCCTGAATATGAATGGGAAGTAGCTGCATAAATTCATGATAAATTTTATCTTTTTTAAAAAAATCCTATACTATATACACTGAAAAACCCTAGATCCCGTGACAGGCAGTGAGCATAAAGTTGATTTGGTATTTAAATGAGATACATATAAAACACAGCTCTCTGGCATATGAGATATTAATGGTGCTCTGAAATGGAAAAATACAAATTCAAGTAAATTTGGGAAATTCTAAATTTCCCTCTTGGAGACTACATTTTATGTATAATGTTAAATGTTCTGGAAAAGTCTCTCCGTGAAGAAACCTAAAACTTTTTAGCACAGTGGCTGTTGGGAAACCTTCGTGTGTTTTGCAGGAAAAGGGGTTGAGGTTGTAGAGCTCTTATTGTTTCTTCACTACACAAATGTGCCATAGAAAACAATTTGGAAAATACTGATGTGAAAGTGAAATGCAATTTGCGGATAATTATTCTTCATAGAGGGACAGAGGTCTGGAGAGAGCTGCTGGTGTCATGTACTTAATGAATGCATGATTTAATGCAACAAGTGTTATTTAATATCTGCTAGATGCTAAATGCTATGTTCAATGGTGGGGATCCAAGGGTAAAAACAAGAAAAATGTCTTGGACACCTGGTAGAGCATTAAAATATGATTCTATTGACAATGCTATAAGCAAGTTTTGAAATGTTTTATGGGAATGTTGAATTGCAATTGAGTGCCTCAGTGTGACAAACAGTTGGGAATTAAGTATGATGGTGGAAGCAAAGAGGAAGGATCTCCCTGGCAAAGTAAACAGCATGAGGAAAGATAGTTTAACAGCAACAATAGTCACACCTATGTGGAAGAGTAAAGGAAAATACCCGGGAGGCAGAGCTTGCAGTGAGCTGAGATCTGGCCACTGCACTCCAGCCTGGGCGACAGAGCGAGACTCCGTCTCAAAAAAAATAAAAAAAAAAAAGAAAAGGAAAATAAATGTGAGAGGGTAGGCAGGGCCCAGGTAATGAGAAGAATGTGGGCTTTGGGGTCTGACAAGCCTGGGCCATCATCATTGCTCTACTTGTAAATGACCTTTGGAAGGTGATTTAATCTCTATAAGGCTCAGCTTTCCCATCAGTATCATAAGGATAAAAAAAATTACCTCACAAAGTGATGATGACATAAAAATCCCACATCCACAGCTTTCAACACAGTGTGGGGACTTAGTCAATATCAGTTGTTACCATTATTAGGCAGATGGGAGCAAAATGATAAATATCCGCTGTTACCAGTAAAAGGGATCTGGATTTAATCTGTAGGCAGTAGAGAGCCATTGAAGGATTATTAGTGTGGGAATGGTGGGACTAACTTGATCGTTTGTAAAGGTGAATATGGAGGAATGAATGGATGAAAGGAGACATGAGCTTTGCACCTGATGGAAAATGGTAGGAGGCATAAATAGGCCATTGGTGGAGTGTTTGAAACTCTTCAGTATTTCACAGGTAGAACTGCTAGAATTTATTAGACTTACATATGTGAGAGCAGGGATTGTGAAAGAGAAGAGAAAGAAAACTGACATCAGTGTTTCTAGCCTGAGCATCTGAATCTCCAGTAATATTAACAATTGAGACAGGCGACAGTTGAGACGGTACAATAGGTATGTAGAAAGTAATGAGTTCAGGTGTGGAATTTAGTTTGTTTTCTGTCATTATCCATTTGGTCTTTCTAGAATAAGCAAGCTTTTCAGACTTGAGTGTGGCAACCCAGCTTCTAATCTCAAAGATCCTTTTATTCTAAGGGACCACTATATTTTGAATAGCAGGTAAGGTGTCACAAAGTAAAATACTACAAACTATTAGAGAAATCTAACGTGGTAGCTGGATATGGATACCAGCTGGCTATCACATGGTAGGCAAATGTGGCTTGAATTACTGTAGTTGTCGAAGCAGTGTTTTCTTTAAGCATAATTGAAAATTTACTTTTAAATTTAGACATTCTACTCAATGCCAATTTGTGTGTGTGTGTTTCTTGTTTTAATGTGCAGGACAGGAGAGAATTGGAAAAGATTCCAACTATGAGCAGGAGGGTAAAGTCCAGTTTGTGATCGACGCGGTCTATGCTATGGCTCATGCCCTTCACCACATGAACAAGGATCTCTGTGCTGACTACCGGGGTGTCTGTCCAGAGATGGAGCAAGCTGGAGGCAAGAAGTTGCTGAAGTATATCCGCAATGTTAACTTCAATGGTGAGTCTCCAAAAATCCATCCTTTTTGGAATCCTAAGTGTTGGCATTCTGTTTCATAAGTTTTAAATTTTTATTATGATTTGCTTTAAAATATGTGTCAAAACTTGCTTGATTATAAAACTTTAAATGACTGAATCAATGCATGAATGAGCAAATGAATGGAAGAATGAATTACAATATATTTGGGGGTTTATGGTTTGGTCTCGTTTTCTTGAAATAGAGATTTTTTTTTTTTTTTTGCACACAGCCAAATTCTTCTTTGGTGAATTCAGGTGGGTATGGGATAGAAGAGGAAGGGAAAGGAGCAGTTGCTGTAGGTACCTCTGAATGTGGAAAAACTGAAGCCATTTTTCCTCTGCTCACATACCACAACAAGAATTCACATAGAAGACTTCCATGACCAAATGTCAGGGGAGAGGTTTCCCCCACACACCAAGCTAGCAATAAATTCTGCAATGGACATAAGCTGAGTGTCCTCTACTTCAATTCCTACATGATGTATCTGGCATGCTGTCAAGCCCCACAAGTTGGAGGCTTGGTTCCCAAGACTCCTCCCCTTGCCACTTCCAATGACAGTGGCAAACCCTAGGTTGCTTTGTCTGTGCTTCCAATGGGCTGGCTATAAACTGGAGTTTTGACAATCCTCTCATCAGGTTTGATTAATTTCCTAGAGCAACTCACAGAACTCAGTAAAACACTTACTTAAATCTATGACAAAGGGTATTTTAAAGGATACAAATAAACCTCCAGATGAAGAGATCCATAGGACAAGGTCTGAAGGGGTCCTGAGAGTGGGAGCTTCTGTCCCCATGGAGTTGGGGTGTGCTGGCCTCCCCTGCATGCGGATGAGTTATTGCTTACCTTCCTGTCAGGCTCCCTGTGTTCAGCTCTCTGAACTTTGTCCTCTTGGGCCTTTTATGAAGATTTCATTGAATAGGCATGATCGACAACCGTGAAGAAATGTGATTGGACACAAAGGATATACTCTAATACTAATAGGCTAAGCAGTGATACCCAGCAAGGCCTGTCTGTCCACATCTTTCTTGGTCTATCTGTGCAGCATTTTTTCCTCCAGGATACGGGACAGGACCGTTCTAAAATGAGGGTCTGATGGCCTGTTAACAGAAAGGTGGAGGAAGGTTAGTATCCTACCTTAGGTTGGTAGAAGGAGGGCAGGAGAAATTCGGAAAGAGAAATTGTTTTCTGAGGCCTAAAGTGCACCAACATTATAACAAAGGTTATGGTAATTATGAGCTGAGAACCATAAATGAAAAGCTACGCACACACACACACACTTATAAAGTAACATCAGAATACTCAAGTTAATAGAAGTAATGTTTGTAATTTGCCACATCAACCATATTTCAAGTTTTAAACTTATTTCTCAAAGTACAAAACTCTTTTATAAATTAATAGGTTACCTAAAATATGTGGGTAGAGATAGGTGAAAAAATGCGCCAATAGGATAAAAGGAATAGGAGGAAACACACTCCGATAATATCTATTTGAATAGTCTCGACTCTTACATCTTAATGTTTCACATGCCAAGAATTAAATAAGTATACTTGAATGTATGAGCAATGCAACATTCAACACAGACAGTAACAAATTATCTTATAAATTACATAACTAAAGTGAAGGAGGGTGAGGAATAAATCATGAATGCAAGTAATTTTGGAAAATAGTATTTGACTATATAAGGCTGAAGACAAAAATAGCTGTACACATTCATTGGACAATATCTAGTAAATCTGTGTTTTTTTCACAATTCTGAAGCTAATCTATGTATATAATAAGACTGAGAAAATAATTATATATATTGTGAATAATGAGAGCCAGTTTTCTCATTATCTAAGATAGAAACCACCAATAAGGATTGAGGGAAATCTAGAATGAACCCTGTTGTGTTGGATTATAATATGTATGGTTTTTAATAAACATGCAATGGGTGAATATAGAAGTAAATTTTATATGTGTATTATATATACCAATTCTGCCTGGCTCTGTTCCCTGAGAGGGCCTGAGAGCAATGATACACAGGTAAAAATGAACACATCTGGCACACAGATATTATTTATAAATACCATTGTTAAATTAAAAAGGTAGAAGAACCCTTAAAGAATGGTTGGGACCATTCTTTAAGGTCCTGGGGCAGGGAAAGCCCAAAATAAGCTTGAAGCATGCTGTGCCAGAATACAAGAAAATTCTCAAAAACTGAAGGGGTCATGTTGAAAGGGCACAGAAACCAAATTGGAAGAGATCCCATTGGCCAACTCTGGGATCCCAGTGGATTATAACTCATAAAATAACATAAGTAACCATGAGTCCATACTGATATCAATAAACTTGAACTAATTAAACAAATGCAAGAGAATAGGCAGCATGATGGAATAAAGTTAAGATGGAAATACAGAGTGGCCTTTTAGTAAAGACCTAAGTAGTAATTTTTTTAGGCAAGAATCATGGGATGCTAAAAGTATGGGGTTACGGTATGATGAGAAACAAGATATTTGCATAGCGTCAAAAGTACCTTCCATCAAGATATATATGAATAACCAAAAAGAAAATAGTAGCTCTGTAGTGAAGAAAACTGGGAGATAGCACGTAAAACAGGTGATCAAGGTGGACATCATCACTAATGAGACTTATGAACATTGTGTGTCTTTTGATACGATACAGTGGCACGATTACAGCATCACTTCTGAGGTTTTACTGTCGAAAAGTATACCTTAAACCTAATTTTAAGGAAACATCAAACAAATCCAAATTAAAAGATGTTTTATGAAATCACTGGCAAGTACTTTTCTAAAGTGCCCAGGAGAATAATAGATAAAGGAACTGTTTCTGACTCAAACAGACCAAGGAAGTATTACTATCAAATGTAATGTGGAAATATTGATTAATCCTATGCTAGAAAAAAACACTAATGGGAAGGTGCAGGAATTTTAATAACATTTGCGGATTAGTTTTAATAGCATTCTATCAGTGTTAATTTCCTGGTTTGGATATAGTATGGTTTTAAAAAACTCTTTACTTTTTTTCTCTTAATAACAACTCATTTAAAACCACAACATGGTATCAATCTTTCAGGAGTTACCTAGTATCTGAATGAAGAGGAGCCACATTCAATATGGGGATCAATAGTTTCCTAGTTTAGATGGAGAGAAAGAAGATCAACTACGAGTTATGTTCTTTCTGTATTTTTTTCTTGATGTTACAGAATCTCCTAATATTTGTATAACCAATTTTCCCAGAGTCAAACAAATATAAATTTTATTTTTTTCAATCATCGTATTTTATATGCTGAGGTCAATTTCTGGATTTTTTATTCTGGTTCATGGATATGTGTGACCATTCTTACACTAGCGACAAAAATAAAATTTGTTTGGTAAGTTTTCTTGATGGTTCTTCCCTGATTCTTCTTTTAGAGAATGATTATAGACCCATTTTGTCAAGAGGGGATTGTCTATTGACAAGCCAAAATAGCTGAGCTATTCATAGGGCTTATGTGTATTAAGTGGTTATTGTGTGCCCGAAACTGCTAAACGTTTTATGCATTGGCTTATTTTATCTTTAAAACATCATAATGGTTTAGGATGCTATTTTTTTCTTTTTCTTTTTTTCTTTTTTCTTTTTTCTTTTTTTTTTTTTACAGATAAGGAAACTGATTCATGGGGAACTTAAGAATTACGATGTTCAAATCCATACAGCTAGGTAGCGATGATGTTATACTTGAGACACAGGACGACTAAGTCCACAATCTGCTTCCTTGAATGTTATTCAAGTTGCTGAGAGCAAGGGCTTCCTGCATCATTCCTGCTGCCTCCTCTTAGATCTGAGGTCGCATGGGAATTTCAGGAAGGGCTAACTTTTTCTCTTTTGGTTTTTTTTTTTTTTTTTTTTTTTTTTGGTCATCATTGTAATCATACTCTATGGTCAACAAAATCTTCTTTCTCTGAGGATATCTTTTTCTTCCATATGATAGCTAAGAGACTTCTGGCTCCTAAGACACTGCAGTACTTACTCATGGATGACAAGGCTCAAAAGTTTTGTAAAGCAAAGAAACTGAGCTAAATTTAATCAGTGGGTCCTGTGTCACTTTAAGTGAGCAAAGATTAGAGGGGAAAAGAACTTGACATGTTTTACTCATTCAATTTTCTGACTTTTGGTTAAAAAATCAAATCTTAGAGAAAAAATATTTGTCCAAGACTCCATAGCTAGCAAAGGACAGAGACAGATCTAGAACTCAAGTCTTTTTCCAATCCATTGTGAAAAATTTAAACTTTATTTTGAATATTTTAGGAGGATTTTGATTTTTCTTTGTCTCAGGAAGCTTGAGATTATGTTTCACGGTTACTTTAGTACAAAGTTTGCTGTATAGATACGAGTTTTGTTAACAGCAGAGTATAATTTAACAGTTCTGGTCTTCGTATTTGCCAAAGTAGCAATTTAAAAAATGATAATATCGTACCCTAAAGGTGTTTGATACAGTTTCATCAAGTATTTAGCCTCCTCTTACGCATTGAGGAAAGAAATGGGTAATTTATCATGCCTAGATATTTTTCCTGCAACCCAAATCCATGCAAAGTCCCAAGCCTAAATTCATTTTAGTTACCTTTGTGTTGGCCCATCCAACCATATGGCAATACTTACAAATATAAACTTAACAAATTTGATGTCTTGATTATAAAATCTCAAATAATAGCTATAGAATGAAGGATTTCATCTGAAGCATGTCTGTACTTCAATTTACTAGTTTCTAGAAAACAAATTGGAGTAGGTTATATTTTGTAGACATGGCAGATCTCACATGCTCTTTTTGCAATATGATGTTAGCTTTCCTTCATCAAGAGGTGAGATCTATTTTTCCTCCCTTTGAGTGAGCCTGTGATTAATTTGGAAGTAGCACTGCGACTTCTAAGGCAAAATAGTTCTGTCTAGTTTTTTTGGAACATTTGGACTATGAGCATGGGTACCATGCTGGGAGGAAGCCTAGATGCCCCACTGACAGGCCACGTGTAGCCACATGTTCTAGCTACAACCCCAGCTGAGGGTCCCACCTGTTAGCTAATATCAACTGTCAGACATGAGAGCCTCAAGTTGCCCCAGCTGACATGAGTGGACCAGAGAGCTGCTGTCCCCACAGAGCTCTGACCAAATTACGAAATAAGTGTTGTCACTGTTTTGAGTACTAATATTCAGAGTGGTTTCTTGGGCAGAAAGAGATAACAGGAACCCCGAACGAATGTCACGTTCCTGGAATCTGTGCATGGTTTGGTAAAATGAGAACAGAAAATGTGTAAGGTAAATACGTTGACGCAGAAGACTGTTTTATTATCTGGGCTATCTGAGTCTCTATTCCTTCTCTGTCCAAGAAGAAAGAAATTCAGAGACTCTCATCCAGTAGGGGAGATTTCAGACTTCAGTACAATCCGTTATCATCTGTCCTTTACTGTCTGTTACCCATCTTGTCAGGTGACTCTATTTCTTTTGCCCTGGTGTACCTGCATCTTGGCTCTAATGCCTTGTGGGCATCTCTGTGGGGAATCATTTCCCCATTGGTGAATTCTTTATCTCCTCTGGACCTTTTTAAAATATAGAGTTCATTGAACACAATGCTTCTTATTCTCTTTTGAGAAGTTCATGGATGCTGTTAAAAAGGAGATGTGGGGATTAAAAAACTGGAAATAATAAGACAGCTGCATTAGGGAATCCATCAAAAAGGTCAAAGCCACACAATGTGCTATTACAAGTCATCATTTAGATAAAGTATTCAGCTCTTCTGCCTTATTTTTTTTAAACCGGAACTTTAATGAGAATGGAAAGGGCATGACAAGACCATTTCTTCTAACAAAAGATTGCAAGAAGGGAGAAAGATTCGGTGATGGGGCCCATTCTGATGAATATGTAGCTGGTGCACTTGAGTTCCTCTGGAGCCCCACACCTGCAATATTCTTCCTCTCTCTTCTCAAAGACTATGAAAAACTCAAATCGTACTGTTTAATGAATAGAAGCTGTAGAATTACAGCAAAGCACAACATGAATCCTGCTATCCAATGTGAAAGAAAAAGGTGAGTATCTGAATAATAATGTCTTCGTGCAAACTGACAGGATTCTCATTTCTTTGCTAATAACATGTGAAATCCAGATTTTATTTCTTTTTCTTAGATACTCGCAAGGCTTGTTGAAATCAGAAATCCATTATTAAAAATCTTTTGTTGTTATTGATGTTTTTGTTGTCATTATTTTCTCCCTATATTGGAAAGACTTGTGTAGGTTCTTACACACAGCAGGTTTAAGGGATCCCTATTATGATAAAGTGGGTGCCGTTGTGGTCTATGGGGGTAGTGTCTAGGTAAAAGACAGAAAAAAAATTGAAATGGTGATTTGGCCACACACAGATTCAGCTGTTGACTCAAATTGGCTGGACCAAAGCAGTGTTGCTCATAGGAGATCAGTGTCCACTCCCAGAGCTCCAGCTTGCTGTTTGGAAAATAAAAAATGTTTATAGTGATGGAGAAATTTAAATTAGATGCCAGTTAGGTATGAGCACTTAGCCAGCAGGTGGGGAGCAGCGAGGGAGGAAGGAGCTAGTGTGCCAAAGTCTTTGTTGGGGTTCAGGGCTTGTATTAATCCAAGACATGCCCAATACTGTGTAATTTATAAAGAAAAAGAAGTTTAATGTACTCACAGTCCCATGAAGCTGGGGAAGCCTCACAATTATGGTGGAAGACGAAAGGCATGTCTTTACATGGTGGCAGGCAAGAGAGAATGAGAGCCAAGCAAAAGGGGAACCCCTCTTAGAGTCATCAGATCTGATGAGACTCATTCACCACCACAAGAACAGTACGGGCGAAACTGCCCGCATGATTCAATTATGTCCCACTGAGTCCCTCCCACAACACATGAGAATTATGGGAGCTACTTGTCAAGATGAGATTTGAGTGGGGACACAGCCAAACCATATCAGGGAATTACCTAGGTATGTTTCCTGTGACAGAGTTGGATTTGTTAACTTGAAGAGTGTGTGAGTATAAGCAAGGGAACTCTGTAAGCTCATTCTTGGTAGTTCCAGGAGCAGAGTAAGCCACTCAAGTTGTTCAGGTTATAGAGCCTTGTTTGTCTAGAACACAAAAACAGGAAATGAGTGAAGACTATCTTCAAATATGTAGAGCAAGGGTGACAAGACAGAGACAGGATGAGATGGATACCGAGGCAATTTGAATATTCATATTCAAATGAGAGTTATGACAGCATCTTAACCAGATAGGGAAAAATACGCTTAAAATAGTAAAAAAAAAAAAAAAAAAAAAAAAAAAAAAAAGCCAAACCTTGAGGAAGCAGCCATGATGTTGAGAATATCCCCACACAAACAACTAACTCAACACAAGAATGACACTAAAATATGTGTTCAATAGATGGTAATGATTTTTAATAGTTTTTATAATTGTTTCATTTGCTTATGCCTCAAAACCAGACATAACAATACTTTCAGCTCCCCAGACAAATGTATTTTTCATTGCACCAAAGTTGCCCTCTTCTAACTGGTGTCTAATTTTAATTTCTCTGTCACTATAATTTTTTTTTTTTTTTTTCCCCAAACAGCAAGCTGGGTCTCACATTGGGAGAGGACACTGATATTCTCGGAGCAGCATTGCTTTGGTGCCGCCAAATTTGGGTCAATGGCTGAAACTGTGTGTGGCCAAAGAACCGTTTCAGTTTGTAAATGGCAGGAAATAGAGCATTGTTTTCTGCTGGGAATATTGGTCCAGTATTAGCCTATAGACAGATAGCAGTCATATATCATGTTATCATGTGGCCAGTGGTATTTTTTCCCAGTTCCAGAGGATCAGGAAAGAAGCAGAACTCAGTTACTGAATGTTTTGTGATTCTTTTGTAACTATTGCTGAAACTAACCAAAACTCATGTCTTGCATTATTTGTATACTGTTTTCCAGTTGTTCTATGTGGTTAATATTAAGGAATCTTTACTCATCCAACCATATACACTTATATATTGAGTATGGATGGATAGATACAGATGTAGATATAGGTATATATGCTTAATAAATATATTGGTTCTTTAAAATTAACTCCAAAGTCTAATTCTGCCAAAATAATTGATTGTGTCTTTTAGACATTTTAAGAAGATCCAAATGAGAAATTGAGAAAGAAACCAATATTTATTTTAAATAAATAAACATGGCCTGCCAAACACACTGCTAGACGTTTTACCCTGTTAATTATATAAATTAGAAATAACCAGCAAAAATATTTAAAATAGAATGTGTAGAAAAATACATTTAAATATATTTTTCTGATTTACTTCTTGTTTTCTAAATAGCATTTCTCTTTTAATATTAATTTGTTATTTTTGAAATTGTTTGACCACAATTTAGTGTTAGATGGAAACTAAAATAATAGTCAAAATCATCATCATCATCAGAAGCATAGTAAACTTAAGGCTGTCTCTTAAAAATAATGCATATAGTTTTTATTCCTCAGAAAGGGGAAAATACTAGAATAAAATTTTAAGAAATATTGAGAAACAGTGAAACTATTCAAAAGGGGAAGTAGTCTTTCACCTTCTATAATTAAAATTCATAGGCCATAGTGATAAATTGCCTATGAATTCCAGGCGCTGTTTTGGGGGACCTATTAAAGGGGATATCTACTAACTACCTTGCTCCTCAGCAAGTCTCTAGCCTGTCACCCATAGTACAAGAGATATAAGGAACCTTGTTTAACTTTAGAATCTTTCATTTTTTCTGTCTTCCTTAGGTAGTGCTGGCACTCCAGTGATGTTTAACAAGAACGGGGATGCACCTGGCCGTTATGACATCTTTCAGTACCAGACCACAAACACCAGCAACCCGGGTTACCGTCTGATCGGGCAGTGGACAGACGAACTTCAGCTCAATGTGAGTTCTGCCTGCTTCCCTTCTTCCCTTGTTGAGATGAATGAACAGACTTTTAATTTGCTCAGTTATACAAATGATTCTTGTTTAATGGTTGTGTGCATATACAAGTGGGCATGCAATTTGTTGTGGGCATCAAGAGGAACTGATATCCAATAATAATGATGGTGATGATGATGATGGGAAATGTGCACTGAGTTTTGTGTATTATATTCATCACTTGTGCGAATTATCTCATTTAATCTGAGATGGAGTTATTTAGCAAACAGGTTACTACTTAACAATTTCACAAGATCTTTCTCTTGGTTAAACTTTTTATTTCTTCTGCCTCCCCCAATTCCTTGCTTGCTTTTTCTTCTTTATTTGGTGGTACTGATTTTTTAAATAGTATTTTGAGTCATTTGAGTGTATCACTTTATGTGAGATTTATAATGGGATTATCTGAGTAACTGCAGTGCTTCCCTTTTCTGTAACCTCTCCCACTTTCTTTAAAACGTGACCTTAAGTAAGCAGCCACTTCCTTTCATGAGATTATATCAAATCCATCAGCCAATGCCCCAGCTCCAAAACAATAAAAAAATTCTCTCTTAGCCTTTTTGTTCTATTCAGACCTTGAAATAATTGGATAAGACTCATCCACATTGGGGAGGGTAATTTGCTTTACTCACCTCCTGATTCAAATCTTCATCTAATCCAGAAACCTCACAGACACACTTAGAATGTTCGACCAACTATCAGGGCACTCCATAGCAAAGTAGAACATAAGATTAACCATCACAGTCTTTATCCTAGAAAATTCCTTTAATGTCTTTTGTAAAGCAATAAATTATGCCATTAGCCTTTATTAGTCTATAACTCAGGAAGTACTTTTTGAATTATTGAGAACAAGGCTTCTTGGGTGTGGAAAGCAAACCCATTTCTTGGGAAGTGGAAGGTTATGTCGTGGTTTCTAAGAAGAAAGGGTTGTTCACATAGGGAGGGCTGAAGCCACTACAGGTCAATGACCTCATTTACACATAGCCTTAGCCTAGACCTGCTTTTGCACCTGTCCGGTTCTCCCCATCGTGAGGTGCACCATACACATGAACTGGCACTACAATTGGGTCCAAAGGATTATGCTCTGCCATCCAGGAATGGTTGGAATCAACAGGTACCATCCATGGCTTACATAAATGCAAATGGCCAAGATCAAAAGAGAAGCTAAGGTTATTCTGAATCCAAGGCACACTAAATTTGCAAGTAAAAGGAGAAAATAAAAACAACACAAACAAAAACCTAAAAGGCAAACTCAAGGGGTAGTTATCAAAAGTAGAATTAAAACAGTATAACCTGGATGACACACTCAAAGTGTGTTTTTTTGGGTGCTGCCATGTGATATGAAGATGGTTCTGCCAAAACTAAAGGTAGAGAATCAAGGTCTTTGGTGCATAGGTGAAGTGCTCAGGGCTTATTATAAGACCCAGTGGATTAAATAGGTTCATTAATCTTTGCCAGCATAAACCCTGCACTCTTGTTAAATTTCTGGCACATATAATTTGTCCAATATCCATAAGAGTTCCCAAGTAGCATTCACCAACTTCAGATGGGATCTTACATGGGGGTTCTTAAGCACACTATTTTAAGAACAAACATTAACACTGGTTTATTTTTATTTGTTTGGTTTGTATTTTATCCTTTATAAGAATTGCATTTGATTAGCTATTCAGCAAGTTTTTGTTGCTTCTTTGGTTTTGGTTTTAAATAGCTATCAAGTTAGAAGCACTGCACGAGTCATATGCGTAGGTACACAGTGAAGATGAAACAAATGTGGTCCCTGTTCTTGCACAATTCAGCATCTAGGATGGAGTTACATGGTACACAGCAAGCAGATATGTACATGGAAATACTGAAGTATGATAATGGAAAAGGTGGTAGATAGGATAATGGAGGTAGAAAAGGAAGGACCTACTACAAGAGAAGCCAGCAATGTGAAAAGTAGAGTGACCAGCAGATCAGATGGCTGATGTGGTGATGATTTAATCAGCAAGGGAAATGAGAGGAAGGGGAAGAGGAGATGATAGAGCAATAGGTAAGAGCCATATTCATGCAACCCCTTGTGTGTCATGATATATTTTAAACATTTTATTCTGAGTGCATTTAAAAGCCACTAAGAAGTACTAAGCAAGGAAGTGAGGGAGTGGCTGCATCAAATTTAGGAATAAAATTACTTTGGCTGCTGGGAAGATAATGGAGGGGGCAAAAGTAGCAGCAGAAAGACCAATTATGAGTGTATTGCAGGTGTCTAGCTAGAATAGGGTGGCTAAGTGAGGTGGTTCTCAAACTTGAGTGTGCATCAGAGCCATCTGGAAGGCTTGTACCAGCACATATTACCCAGCCCTGCTCTCAGGTAACTTGATTCAGAAGAACTAGAGGTGTGGGAAACCTCAATATTTGCTTTTTATCAGAAGTCATTGGGCAATGTTGATGTCCCTTTGAGGACCCCTGGCTCAGGGACATGTGTGATAGTGAAGATGAAGCCAAATGAACGGGATACGTATGTAACATGAGGCACTGTGTGGATGAAGGCAACACATGAGATGAGGGAGGCTGCTGGGAGTAGAAGGGAGAAAATCAAGCATCCCAATTGGGATTCTTATATATATGAGACTTCTTAAATATACTACAGCCAAAATGAAATTGATATAGGTCTGAAGCTCAGACAACAGTTGTGAGTCATAATTATAAAACAATGTAAACTGTTAACCTATAAATGGTCTTTAAATCCATTACGAAGAGAGTAAGAAAAAAGCAGAGACCCCAAGCCCTTGAAAACCTCATAGAAAATGACACAATTCCAGCCGGGCACAGTGGCTCATGCCTGTAATGCCAACACTTTGGGAGGCTGAGGTGGGCAGATCATGAGGTCAGGAGTTTGAGACCAGCCTGGTCAACATAATGAAATCCCGTCTCTACTAAAAATACAAAAAAAAATTAACTGAGCGTGGTGGTGCACGCCTGTAATCCCAGCTACTTGGGAGACTGAGGCAGGAGAATCGCTTGAACCCAGGAAGCAGAGGTTGCAGTGAGCCGAGGTCATGCCACTGCACTCCAGCCCTGGCAAGAGTGTGAGACTCCATCTCAAAAAAAAAGGAAGAAAGAAAAGAAAAGAAAATGACACAATTCCATTCCAACTGCTCTAAATACTCAGTTTAAAATATTCTGTTTAATTGGCCCAGAGATTTGGACTAACCATATATTTTCGATTTTTGTTTGGGTTTATGCTAGCTAAAACAGGGGTTCGTTCTTGGCTTGGAACTAAGTGAGAGCATTCTTTATTCTACTTTGTCATGCTAAGAGTGTTGTGTTAGGAAAAACAGGCACCCTCAGGTGGATGCAGTAGTTTATACTTGGTATTGCATGGGACCTAAAGGAGTGAATGACAACCATGAAGGGGGTCACTTTTAGGGGGATAAGAGGCTGGGTTTAATTCAACTAATGTGGCTACTAAGATAACTGGACTTGGTAGGATGTCACCCTGTTGATACCTTTTATTGTGAAATTTAATTTAAATTGTGTTCAGGGGGATAAGAAAATAAAAGTTAAGTAGAGTACCCAGAGGGCGCCCTACCCCTCTCACCTGGGGACCCAGAATCACAGCCCAGTTGTCGTATCCAATGGTTGGTTCCTCTCCGACTTTTTCTGTAATTATTCTATTAAAGATTCTGTGAGAGTGGAATTTGGGCAAACAGTTTTGTAGGTTTGCTTTCCTCTAGTCAACAGAACAAAATAAAGTATTTCAAGTAAAAAGTGTATGTCTCCTCACAAAGATTCATGGGTACTTTTTCAATTCTCAGTTTCATCATCTCAAGCAAATGAAATTTTCAAGGGCGGCTTTCTCTGTGGTCAGTAATTGCAAATGAATTTCTGAGCCAAGAAATCAGAGTTTTAGGTTCTTAGAATCTCAGCTCTGTAGATCAGACTGCTCTGCTGTTCCGTATGCAATTTCTGGAATTTAAGTGCTTAGCAGTGTGCTGTCTGCTGTAAAATGTCTCATGTACCCTCACTATACTCTGTCTCCTATGTGGCCCAAGAGATGAATGCATGGTTAGCCACCAGGATATTTCTGCTGAACAAGAATTCTGTGGAAGGGAATCATAACCAACAAAACCATTCACTCTTCTGATTGTAACCTCTGTAGAAACAACCCTAATTTAATTTCTTAAGTTTGTATTCTACTCTCTAGAGATTGTATAAAATACTCTTCGTGGGGGAAAGAAGAAGGGACAATGCAACAAACGTGATTGCTTATCTGCAGTGTGTCAGGAAAGATGATAGCTCATGGAGATGTTAGAATAAATAAGGGGCAGATCCATGCACTCCAAGTTCACAGTCTAGGGTAAGGACTCTGTAGTAGATATATGGCATTTTAGGGCCACAGACAGGCACTGGTTTAGAGACACCCACCACAAAGTTATGTTTGAACTGGATCTTTTGAAGGTTAAGTAGTAGTTCCTCAGATGAAGTAGAAAAAAAAAATTGCTTTATAATAAATAATGCAGTAATATTTAAAAATTAGGGTAGGGAAATATTTCTGAAAAAAGGCAAGAAATGGAATGTGGATGCTTAAAAGAATTCTAAATTTATGTTGTAAGTAAAATATATTATGTGTGATAGAAACCATGATGGTTACTTTGTTGTCTTTTATTTATCTGAAATTAGGAAGTTCAGATATGTTAAAAATCTTAATTTTCCAAATAACTAAAATTGTCTAATATACCAAAATGTTAAAACATTTTTAGAAAGGAACTATTCTTAATAGTAGCTTCCTGCAGTGAACTGCATATTCTCTTAAATAGAAGACTGATTGAATGCAACTTCCTCTTTTCTGGATAACTGAAGTTCTACAAACCTCAATTTTCTGCCATTTGTTAAGATAGACCAACCTTCTGATCTTCTGAGGTATATGGGGTTTCTTAACTTTCTCTGGTGATTTTGTTTTCTCTGTCGAACTTACACTTCATACC